GACCCACCGAGCCAGACACAGGAGAGAATCTCCTGGTCTGCCGGTTGCTAAGACAGTGGGGAAAGCACAGTATTTGGGCGGAAGTGTCCCATTTTTTCAGGTACAATCTGTCACAGCTTCCCTTGGCTAAGAAAGGGAAATCCCCAGACTCCTTGGCTTCCCGGGTGAGGCAATGCTCCACCCTGCTTCAGCTCACCCTCCGTGGGCTGCACCCACTGTCCAACCAGCCCCAGTGAGATGAACCAGGTACCTCAGTTGGAAATGCAGAAATCACCCGTCTTCTGTGTCAATCACTCTGGGAGCTGCAGACCAGAGCTCTTCCTACTTGGCCATCTTGGAGCAGACCTCAATTTTTTGTATTTTTTAGTACAGATGGGGTTTCTCCATGTTGGTTGGGCTGGTCTCGAACTCCTGACCTCAAGTGATCCACCTGCCTTGGCCTCCCAAAGTGCTGGGATTACAGGCATGAGCTACCTCACCCAGCCTATTTCTTGCCTTAACTCAATAAGCCCTTGTGTCAGGCTAAAAGACATGGTTCTCCAAAACTATATTTACTTCCTAATTGTCAGAACCTGTGATTGTTACCTCACCTGGAAAAAGAGTAAATATTACCTTCTGAAGCAAGAGATGTGATGAAGGATCTTGAGAGGAGACATTTACCCTGAATTATCCAGATAGGCCCCAAATGCCCTAAATCACATGTATAAATACTTTTATAAAAAAGAGGGCCAGGCAGAGGTTTCACCCAGAGAGAGACAGAGGAGAAAGTGATGTGAAGACAGAGAGAGAGATTTGAGTGATGTAGCAAGTCAAGGATTGCCAGCAGAAACTGAAAGAGGCAAGGAACTAAATCTCCCCTACAGCTTGTGGAGGGAGTGAGGCCCTATTGACATCTTGGTTTTAGAATTCTGGCCCCCAGAAATGTGACAGAATATGTTACCAAGTTTGTGGTAATTTGTCATGGTAGTCAGAAGAAACTAATATAAATTTGGTATCAAGGAGTGAGGTGCTGCTATAACAAATACCCCAAAATACAGAATATCATCCAAGGAATGTCCAAGTTATATGGTTTGGATGTTTGTCCCCTTCAAATCTCATGTTGAAATGTGACCTCCAGTGTTGGAGGTGAGACTTGGTGGGAGGTATTGGATCACAGAGGCAGATCTGTAATGAATGACTTAGTGCCATCCCCTTGGTGATATGTGAGTTCTCCTTCAGTTCACACAAGATTTGGTTGTTTAAAAGGGTGGGAGACCTCACCTTGCTGTCTCTTGCTTGCTCTGTCATGTGACATGCCTACTCCCGCTTTGTCTTCTGCCATGGGTAAAAGCTCCCTGAGGCATCACTGGGAGCTGAGCACATGCCAGAGCCATGCTTCCTGTACAGCCTGCAGAACCGTGAGCCAATTAAACCTCTTTTCTTTGTAAATTAGCTAGTCTCAAGTATTTCTTTTTTTTTTTTTATAGATGGAGTCTCACTCTGTCACCCAGGCTAGAGTGCAGTGGTGTGATCTCAGCTCACTACACACTACAACCTCCACCTCCAACGTTCAAATAATTCTCCCTGCCTCAGCCTCCCAAATAGCTGGGATTACAGGCACCTGCTACCATGCCCGGCTAATATTTGTATTTTTAGTAGATACTGGATTTCACCATGTTGGCCACGCTGGTCTCGAACTCCTGACCTCAAGTGATCTGCCTGCCTCGGCCTCCCAAATTGCTGGGATTACAGGTACCTGGCCAGGTGGATTTCTTTAGAGCAACACAAAAATGGCCTAATACACCAAGGAATTAGGTAATAGGTAGAGGCTGGAAGAATTCTGTGAAGCATCACAGAAAAAACCTAGAATGCCCTGAAGTCACTGGTGGTAGAAATATGGATATCAAGTATGCTGTTGGTGAGGGTTCAGAAGGAAGTGAGCGGCACAGTAGAGAAAGCTTCTATCAAGATTGTGCCATTGCACTCCCGCCTGGGCAACAGAGCAAGACTCTGTTTCAGAAAAAAATAGAAAGCAAGCTTCTATCAGTCATCTTTGAAAATATGTATGCTATCTTGAGCAGAATGTTGGCAAAAATATGAGCATTGTAAGTACTTCTGGTACAGGCTTAGAAGGAAATACAGAGCACATGATTGAGAAATGGAGGAAAAATGATCCGTGTTACATAGTGGCAGTGCGCTTGGCTTAATTGTGTCCTATAGTCATGTGAAAATTAGCAGAACTTGCCAATGATTAACTCGGATATTTAGCTGAGGAGAGTACCAAGCAAAATGTTGAGGATGCGGACTGTTACCTTCTTTCTGTTCAGAGTAAAAATGTGAGAGAAAATAGATACATTCAGGAAGGAACTGTTAAGCAGAATTTTCAGTAATTTGTTATGGTAACCAAAGTAAACTGATAAAGCTCTTAAGAGAGGAATATCTTCTCATATTATTCAGAAATGCCAATGCATGGATCCTTTGTGTAGACTAGTATTAGTTTAGACAGTCTGCTATTTTAAGTTAGCATTAGATACCTGATCACTACATCAAGATACTGAATCAAAATGTGTTATTTTAATTCTATGTCACTTGAACATTTAGGACATGCTTCTATCAGCCCTCAATTTATTTTTTTTAATATTAGCCTCAAATAATAAGAATAAATTAACTTTATTTTGAGCTCAAGTTTTTTTTTGTTTTTTTTTGTTTTTTTTTTTTTGGGACAGAGTCTCGCTCTGTCGCCCAGGCTGGAGTGCAGTGGCCGGATCTCTGCTCACTGCAAGCTCCGCCTCCCGGGTTTACGCCATTCTCCTGCCTCAGCCTCCCGAGTAGCTGGGACTACAGGCGCCCGCCACCTCGCCTGGCTAGTTTTTTGTATTTTTTAGTAGAGACGGGGTTTCACCGTGTTAGCCAGGATGGTCTCAATTTCCTGACCTCGTGATCCGCCCGTCTCGGCCTCCCAAAGTGCTGGGATTACAGGCTTGAGCCACCGCCCCTGGCGAGCTCAAGTTCTTAAACTCACCAATCAATGATTTGTGAGTCGTTCTTTTGTTTGTTGGTTGGTTGGTTTCTTTGCATTTTGTTTTATTTGTTTGTATTTTAAGACATGGATTCTTGGGCCCTCTGCAAACCTTGTACATTGATTTTCTGGTGCTGAGGATTGGATATTTATATTTTTCTAAGGCTTTGTCAATTGTTATAATAAACAACCATTTAGGAAACCATTGATATTATGAAGCATAGCTGGATTTGTCTACCATTTCTTAAGTACTCTCTATGTGTCAGATATATATTAGATGAGCTTTACATAATATTTATATGTAATCTTACAGGTACATGTTTAATTTCAGCTTTGTAGTTGGCAAATTGAGGTTCAAAGAAGTAGTAAAGCTGTTCCAAATCCGTAATTAGAAAAACTGATATTTGAGCACATATCTATTTCCAAAACCCATTCTCCTACAGAAAAACCAGCAGTAAAGTGAAAACATTATTTGTTCACATTTCCTTATATATCCTTTCTAGGTGGATGATGTGCGTAAGTCATTTAACTTCCCAAGATTTAGTTTGCTCTATTTGAAGAAGTGTATAATAATATGTATCTCAAGCAGTTGTCATGAAGACCGAATTCAATTATGTACAGAATAGCACTCTGGCAACACTAGAGTGCCATGCAAATGTGATTTGCTTTACTATGGTTTTTGCTCTTACCTATTTTTATTTATGGAATAAGTAAAGTGTAACCATGTTATTTGGCAGAAGTGCCAGCTCTCACAAAATGCTACATCTACAGCCAGCTGCTTCTATTCTTGTGGATCTAAGGCTTCCTCAATGGTTACTTTTGGAGCCAGACTGGATCAGTGTTCATATCCCCGCTCTGCCATTTACTAACAGTAGAATCATGGACTAGTCTTTCCATGATTTTGATTATTCACCAATAGAAAGAGAAAGAGATGCTGGTAATTTGAGGTCGACATTGAAATAATATGGAATGCTTATAATGTTTATGATCATCATCATTAATGATCACATTACTGACAGTAGCTGTGTTAGTAAGATGGCAAATACATTTTGTGAGGTTCCACTAGACACTGCCTATGAAGAGTGGCACAGGCAGGGGGTGAAAGAATGCCAGCAGTGAGGCAGTGTATTCCGCAGGGCATGGGAAAAAACCCAGGCCAGTTGCAACCCGCGTGAATACTAACTCCCACTGTAGCCTGGATTGCATTCCTATGCCAGCAAAATGGTTTTTCAACTGTGGCTATTCTGTAGCAGAGTATCAGCAAGGGAGCCCCAGATAGGGAAGCTGAAAAGAGTTTAATTATTTAGCACATATATATTATGCCATAAGTACATACACAAGCAGAATGGGAGAAAAGACTAGATGCCATGGCACTTGGCAGATGACCAGTTGGAAAGGCAATCATAAACTACTTGGGAACATTAAATAAGTCAGAATGCTATCGTCTAACATATAAACTAGTAATGATAGCAGTAACTACCATTTCACAAATTCCTATGCCAGGAACCCTGCTAGGCTTTGTATGTACATTATCACTAGGCTACAAAACTCTATTGAATAAGAACCATTTATTACCTCATTCTACAGACGAGGAAATTGAGGCACAGAGAAGTTAAAGAAGGCATTAACGGTTAAAGACCTGAGAAATATTGGCCATGAGATTTAAAATAGAGTCTAACTATCTGTAAAGCCCATGTCCTTTCCACCGCAGTGTGATGTCTCCATGGAACATTCTCATGTCTTGCATCTCTTGTCCTTTTACAACAACCACTGTTACAGGTAATCCTTCTGCTTTTTTATTTTGCATGTACCCCTCCTCAAGAAAAGGTACATGATAAATAATAAAATCATCATTGGTATATATAAATAGATGATTGATAGACCAGACAGATCGATGACAGACTGTGTGTGTATATGCACACCATCACACTCTGTGACTTTTAAAACTATCTTGTGGATCTCCTTAGCACATCTCTTGTGCTCTGCTTATATTCCGGCCCAGATGTACAGAGCAGCTAGTTCACAATAACCTCCCAACCACCAGTGTCATCATGTGCTTTGTGGATGAAGTGTGGTCCACTCTCCTGAGATCTGTTCACAGTGTCCTCAATCGCTCTCCTCCATACCTCATCAAGGAGATTCTGCTGGTAGATGACTTCAGCACCAAAGGTAAGAAAACCACTCGGGCTATCTCTTGAAATTTCAAAGTTTGGTGGAAGCAAAGTTTGGTAGCAGTTTGGATGGCAAAATTACAAGATAATTTGATGAAGCATAAACATTGTACAAATGCATTGTTTTACGTGGAGCCTCAGAGACAGAAGTCTAAGCATCTGTGGACATTAAAAGTCATCTGGAGCTCTATTCAGTTAGTTGTCTCAGTTGTAACTCTCCTACCATGTTGGAATGATCTTCTAACTATGGCTCCTTGGAGATGGGTACTTTGAAGTACTGGAGTTTAGATGTCCTCTACAATTGCATAAATCCCTTTTAATGGAATCACAATTAAAGGGAGGCCTTGCCTACTGGTAATAACTAGAGTTACAGTTGGACTTTATGGAAGGCAAAGAAATTGAGGTCTTATGGCTTCTTCCTTGAGAGCAAGGCATATGATGTGTTCAGTTAAGTGTTAAGAAGACAAATTGCCAATAGGACAAGAGAGATGAGGTGATTCCAATAAAGTTCAAAAGAAGAATCCACCATAGCCTTTACATTCATTTTTGTTTATTACAGTGAAGAATCTCACTCTTTAGGTTGTCAAATAACTTGTGTATGTAGGTGGTCTGACAGCCACATTACAAATTCCCAAAATGGAACCCATTTTTCAGAAAAGTTTAGAAAATAGCAAAGACTTGGCAATGCTAATATACTTAGCCTTAAGCTAAGTCTTAGCCTTGAGCTGTGACCACAGCAACATGGGAAGTTTCTTTAGCTTCAGAGTTTCTACCATAATCACATTGAGCTCAAGAAACTGTGGGATGACAGAGAAAAACTGGCTGAAAACATAAAACGTGGCCTTGAAAGCATAAACAAAAATAGCACCCAATTAGAAAGTAGATAAGAGTCCCTTCCTGAGGGGTAGGTCCAGATTCTGTGGGACCTGAAGCTTATTCAGTTTTCAGGGTCCTAAGAAAAACTTTCTTAGAAAATTTTCTGGAAGCCATTCCGACCTAGGATAGCTGTCAATAGCTTAATTACACACAGAAGTGACTATAAGTCACATCAACATGGCTCATAAAGCCCCCAGAAAACTGTTCCTTTAGCTGGATCCCTCCATAGCCATCTAATAAGAGAGAAAAGGTGTAATGGAAGGGGATGTCAGAGTAGGAAATGAAAGGGTCTTATTTGCACACATTGTTTAGCCTCTTCCTTGGGTCATGGAAAGGGCTTTTGCAAGAGGTGGGGTTGAGAGTAGAAGCAGAATTGTGCAGAAGCCTGAGCTGCATTTATTTTAAGGCAAATATTCCCCTACCTTGACAAATACTCAGAAAGGTGTGCCCTCCACTGTATCACCTTGCAACACTGAAAACAAAGATTTGGGGTTTGAAAAATCAGACAGCTTTGAATATTGAAATGAGACAGAATCCTTCCAAGAAAATGACATCAGAAAATAAAATTATGACCCAAGGAATAAAATTCAGTGATGATGGTAATGTCATAGTTTTTGGCATTTGACTTCGGGAAGGCACTTCTGATACTATCTAGACTTAGCTAATTCAAGTGTTCCTGGTTTATCTTTACTCTGATGTAGACTACCTAAAAGATAATTTGGATAAATACATGTCCCAGTTTCCAAAAGTTCGGATTCTTCATCTCAAAGAGAGACACGGCTTAATAAGGGCCAGGCTGGCAGGAGCACAGAATGCAACAGGTAAGAAGCTACTCATTTTTTTGTGTGTTACATTTTGTTTTAATTTAAAATGTTTCTCAAACATACAGAAAATGTGAAAGACTAGCACAATGATGCCTATATATGCATCACTTAGTTCCATCAGTTTTAAAGTTTTTATAATATGTGCTCTATCATAAACACACATAGACACCTATTGTAGATACTTTTTTCCTGAACCTTTGAAAAAGAAGTTACAGACATCATCATACTGCACCCCTAAGGACCTCAGTAGGCGTCTCTGAAGAACAGGAGCATTCTCTTAAATAAGCACAGCTTTCATAACTAAATATAATACCTACTATATGCTGTTTTCAAGTTTTGTCATTGTTCCCAAAATTTTTTTGGTTTTGGATTTTTTTTGTTTTTTTGTTTTTTTGACGGAGTCTCGCTCTGACGCCCAGGCTGGAGTGCAGGCTGGAGTGCAGTGGCGCCATCTCAGCTCACTGCAAGCTCCGCCTCCCAGGTTCAGGCCATTCTCCTGCCTCAGCATCCCGAGTAGCTGGGACTACAGGCACCCGCCACCATGCCTGGCTAATTTTTTGTATTTTTAATGGAGATGGGGTTTCACCACATTAGCCAGGATGGTCTTGATCTCTTGACATCGTGATCTGCCTGCCTCAGCCTCCCAAAATGCTGGGATTACAGGCCGCAAAACGTTTTTTTTTAAATTCAGAAACTAATTAAGTTTCATACCCTGCATTTGATAGTTTGGTCTTCTTAGTCTAGAATACTCAACTCCTCACACTTTGCTTAAACATTTGTGTGTGTGTGTGTGTGTGTGTGTGTGTGTGTGTGTGTATTTTAAGTTCATGCCATTTGTTTGGTACAACTGACCATGTTCTGAAATTTTCGATTTCCTCTTGTTACCTGCAGGATAAATGTTTTTGGAGTGAAAATATTATATAGAATGCTACTACATAGGTGATAGAAACGGTATACATCTCATCAAGAGGCATATAATATAACATAATATCACCAGTATTGTTGATACTAACTTTGAGAAGTTAGTTAAGATGTTGACAGCTAGATCTTTACTTTGGGAGTAAGAAGTAATTTGTGGAATGATACATTAACCCATGAGAATATTCTGTTTTTCTTACAATGTTTTACCCAATGGTTTTTAGTATCCATTGATGATCCTTGCTTAAATCAATTATTACATTGAGGACTGAAAAGTTGCTTTTCTATAATTCATTCTTTTTTATTTAGCTGGCACTCATGTGTAAGGAAAAAAATCTCTATCTCTCCCTCGCCTGTTTTCTAACTCTTCCTCCCTTCCCCCTCAACCTCCCTCTCCCCTCCCTCTCATCCCCTCACCAATATGGATTTATGGCTTAGAAGTTAAATGTGTATTATATCACCATTATTCTTGTTGGTGTTCAAATTGTCCCAAATTTGGTCACTAGGAGCTTCTTCAAGCCTGCGCCTTTTTGACCTGACCAATCAGTATTTCAAGATTTCATAAAGTTTTAATTCTACAATCCTCACCCCTCTCTTCTCTGACCCATGTCTGTTCTTCCTAGGTTTTTTCTGCCTTCCCCAGAGGCCATATGCCTTCTTTTCCCCTCCTTTTTTTAGTGTGCAGGTGTTGGTGAGTGAATGAGAAGTGAGTCTATTTTATGAGTATTCTACAAACAACATCAAACATTTTGGTTCATGCTCATAAGTTTCTAAGGAAGGATCTGTGCCCTGTGATACTAGCTGACTTATATGCTAGGTGCCATTCTGAATACTTCATATATTAACTGATTGAATCCTCACAATAACTCTATGAGATGGGTACAATCACATCCTCATTCTACATATGAGAATATAGAGGTGCAGTGAGGCTGTGCCTTATGCAAGCTCACCCATCTAGTCAGTGGTAAATCCAAAGCTGGCACCTGAATGCCCTGACTCCAGAGGCCATCCTCTTACCTACTACACCTTGAGGCCTCTAGACACTTAGTCACTACTCCGGTCCTGTACGCCCTGCTTTTACAGTTCTTCACCAGCTTAAATTCAAGCATGTTCTGATGGGAAATTATCTGCTTATGTGAGTTTAATTTTCTCATAACTGGACCCCATATTTGAAGCTCTTCTCATTTCATTGGTTTGCTAACAAATGTCTTCTCTTTGTAGAGGAAATTTTAAGTGAACAACAAATACATCACACCAAAATTGGCATTGCAGTGACAGTTAAGATTCTCGATGAGAGACTGCATTCAGAAAAATCTAATGGCATTCCATGCTTAATTTCCTTTGGAAAATAATTATCTATAAATGATGTACAAATAGGATACTCAAGAACTAGTCTAAGTAGGTAACTTTTGAGCTGAGGTCTGGGTGAAGACTATTCCCAAGCAAATGGAACAAGAAGTACAAATGTCCTAATGAAGAAATGAGCTTGGCATATTCAAGGTAAAGAAATAAGTTCATTTTGACTCATGGGTGCTGACCATGGGGAGAGTCATAAAAGATTCATTTGGGGGGAAAGAAAAAAGCAAGTTTTTCTAAAGTTTTGTGCATCACTTAAAGATTGTAGGCATTATTCTCAGTATAAGGTGAAGCCAGTGAAGAATGTTAAATGGGAACAAAACTGTCTGATGTACATTTTGAAAGTTCATTTTGGCCACTGTGTAGATAATGGATATTAGGAAGATGAAAAAACGAAGCAGGGAGGCCAGTTAGGAGGCTATTTTAGTTGTCCAAGTACCAGGGAGGTGCCAGGGTAAATGGGAGAAATGGTCAGCTTCATCATAGATTGTGCACATGGAACGTATAGGACTTGCCATCAGATAGGATGTGAAGAGAATGACAGCAATCAGAAACAAACCCTAGGACTGGTATCTGAACAGCTTGGTGGGTGGTAGGCTCAAAATTGGAGGAGCAGGTTTGGAATTGCAGTTGAGTTTTGATTTTGTCCATATAAATTTGAGATGAAAATTAGATATTCACGTGCAGAAAGTAGAATACAGAACCAAATATGGATTACTTATTTAAAAATATTCTCTCTGCCTGCATGGAGCACAGAGTATGCTAGTAATGGCCTCCGACACAGTCCAAACTATTAGACGACATGGGTGGCGTATCTTAGAAGGGGTGTTATGAGCTTGATTAAAGCAGTTGCAACTGCTTGCTGAAGTGTTTGCAGTTACATTCATAAAGTAATTTCTTTGAATTTAGCAAATCTGAATGTAAATTCAGATTCATTAACACCCTTGAGAATATTAGCTCAGTAACTTTCAAACCATTTTGATGATGACTTGTGTAGAAATAAATTTTTCATCACAATTCACTACATGTGTAATCACACATATAACTACAGTAGACATTTTATCAAATAACATGTGGAATAGATTCTAATATCTTCTTTTCTATGTTATTTACTTTTTAGATCCTGGCCAATCTCAATAAATTGATTTAGTGATTGATTCACTAAGAGGATCTACAGCTCTCAGTTTGAAAAACCCCAGCTAGGTGTATCTTAATTGCATGCCACTGCCTAGTAGAGTGATGCTTCCCAAACTATCTAAAAAGGACTTTTTTCCCCTAATTTCCATTTTTTTATTGACCTACCCCTTTGTAAATTATAACAAATATTAATTACTCAAAAAGGAAAGTAGATATATAAAACACAAATCCATTTTTATTATATATAAATTATATATGGCTGGGTGCAGTGGCTCACGCCAGTAATCCCAGCACTTTGGGAGGCTGAGGCAGGCAGATCACCTGAAGTCAGGAGTTCGAGACCAGCCTACCCAACATGGCAAAACCCTGTCTCTACTAAAAATACAAAAAATTAGCCAGGAGTGGTGGTGGGTGCCTGTAATCCCAGCTACTCAGGAGGCTAAGGCAGAGAATCTCTTGAACCTGGGAGGCGGAGGTTGCAGTGAGGTGATATCACACCACTGCACTCTAGCCTGGGCAACAAGAGCAAAACATTGTCTCAAAAAAAAAATATATATATATATATAAAAATTTATAAATTTGGCAAATTGCTATAAAGTTTCAAAATATTTGTTCTCAATTTCTATTGCTATCTCCCTGTAGACAGCAGGGTCTGTGACCTACACTTTGAGCAGCATTAGTGGAGCTTAGGTACTTGAGAGTTTGGAAAGAAGAAAGGTGTGTCTCGATGTATCCTTGCCCAGGGATGCATCCAATGCCAGGAAGTACACCTGTCCCCTGTGGGGAATTCAAGGCCATGCAGGATCAGTTTTAGCAGAGAATGTAATTCAGAGACTGGCATTGAGCAGAGATGGCAGGCGGGGTGGGTCCTCTCAAACTCCCCTGGGTGTGCCACAGCTCTCAAGAGTAGAGATAAGTAAGAGACTAAGGGCCTCCTGAAGAGTTCCTGTAAATTAGAGGTCAGCAAAGACAGCAGACAAAAATTTTCTCTAGGATGCCTCACCAAACAAAGAGTTTAAAGATAAGAATCTGAGTCCAGAACCTGACAGGCCTTGGCGCAACTGTTCCCTACAGATTTGCCCTTTAGGACTCAAACGGGAATTAACAGGCAAGGGTGAGATCCAGAGATCCAAAGACATGCAAAAATGGAAGTCAGATGGCCTATTTTGGTCCCATGGTATTATGAGGCTCTCTGAAGGTCTGCAGGAGGCTCTCTGAAAGTCTGCAATCATCTGCAAAATAATAAGGGGCCAAGCACTGATCTGCCTTACCGTTAGCGATGTCTACTATGCATTCCGTTTCCAGGGCATGTTAGTTCTTCATCTGAATCTATTTCAGGCAAAAAGATTAGGTCCAATCAGTTGCTTGCTGTGAATGAGGAGGTTGAGAGGCCCAAGTAGGATTTCAAAATTTGACAGGTAGGGCAGGGGCAATGGATCTCTAAGAATTGCTCACTCTATGAAGCCAACAGAATTAAAAAGATGCAGTAAATGAAATATCAGGGAACACGTAGATCACCCACATTCCTTCCTAGTATGGAACAGACCAAGTGATTTACTGCCCTGCCAAGAGGAGTTACAGTCAGGCAGTAGAGAGTCAGAGTAAATATTAGGTTTTCATTTCCTTCATGACATGGCGTTTAGCAAAATTCCTGACATTTCTATGAGCATTCTAAATAATCACTTGGCTAACTTTAAGTAACTGGACAGGTGACACCTAACTCCTAGCAAACTCCAAGGTCTCCTAAAAAGCAACAGTAGACATCTTTCTGCAAACTTTTATAACTTGTATCTGCTGCAGGTAAAAATTATTTCCTTAGCGTTACTTAGGAGGCATTATGTAAAATTAAATGGCATGCCAAGCCAACATCCCTCGAGGAACCCTTGACATAAACATCCAGCATTAACTGGTTCTGCAGCAATATTCTAGGTTGGTACACTGGATATAAGTGGGGGTCCATGCTCAACAAGGACCCAAAATTGTTTGGCACATTGAACAGTTTTATGTTGCCCCCCACCCTCCAAATTTTTAAGTTACAAATGAAACCCATCTGTAAACAATCCAGTATTATTGTGACCTATCCTTAGAAACAGAAAATTCTACCAGGTAGCAATCAAGATTGGACTAAAATTTTATATTCTTTAGCCAACCTCTCCCTATATCCCCTCTCCCCTACCCTTTCCAAATCTAGTGCTCTATAGCACTATAGGGTCACTATAGTTAACAATAGTTTATTATATGTTTTCAAGCAGCTATCAGAGAGGATTTTGAATGCTCCCAATACACATAAATGATAAATGTTTGAGGTGATTGATATGCTAATTACCCTGATTTGATCACTACACATTTTATGTATCAAATATCACTATGTACCCCATAAATATATATAATTATTATGTGTCAATTTAAAAATTTTAAGTGATTGGGTTGATTATTCTGACAGTAAATTATACTAGCCATTTTTAAAGAATTTAGGTATGAGGTAGATCTTAGAAATATCTTTACAGGGCAAAGCTCAAAAAGGTTAAGTAACTTATCTAAACTGGCTAGGAAAAGCAGAGCTCGTATTGAAGGCTATTGTATGTAACTTTAATGCTATGCTTATTTCACTGTGCTTCTCAGCCTCTCCAAATCAGGAACAGTGTGTACAATGTCCATAGACAATAATCACACCAATCAGAAATCCCACCAAGAGTCAGCTACACAGAAAGCTCCCTGTTTTCTCACCTAACATAGTCCTAAGATCTTATTTTAAAACAAAATGTCTGAAAGTAGAGCAATAGCATGCATGCATGGGAGGATTCTCCTCTTCCCCAAAATAAAACAATATAAAATTCCAGACTATGTTTTGAGCAGATGCTGCTTCCCTTAGGTCCTGGCAGCAAATGAATGAGAATTTTCATAGGGATCTGGGCCAGGTGGGAAGTGAATGTGGGTTTGGGAACCCATCCTGCTGCCACTGGGGACTGAGAAAGATAATCCAGGCCCCTTTGACTTCATAAGGTTGCTATGGGGATAGGGACAGGTGGTATAGTAAACACTGCTCTTTAAACTCTAGGTCTGAATGGACCACAAGTAGAAATCTTATTTTTTGTTTTTGTTTTTGTGTTTTTTGTTTTTTGTTTTTGAGACGGAGTCTCGCTGTGTCACCAGGCTGGAGTGCAGTGCCTCGATCTCTGCTCACTGCAACCTCCACCTCCCGGGTTCAAGTGCTTTTCCTGCCCCAGCCTCCTGAATAGCTAGGGCTACAGGCACACACACAGGCCCAGCTAATTTTTGTATTTTTAGTAGAGATGGGGTTTCACCATGTTGGCCAGGATGGCCTTGATCTCTCAGCCTCATGATCCTACCACCTCGGCCTCCCAAAGTGCTAAGATTACAGGCATGAGCCACCACGCCCGGCCAGGAATCTTTTTTTTACCACATTGTATACCACTAGCCAAGTGGACTTTAGCAGGCCATGCTTCATATACCTACATGACCCTGTGAGTCTTCCCATGACCGGGGAGAGGGTTGTCCCAAAGGTGCCATCCCCAAAGGACACCCTTAGGAGATGGCTTAGTCCTTTTGGGCTGCTATAACAAAATGCCTTACACTAGATAATTTATAAATAGCATATATTTATTGATCACAGTTTTGGAGGCTGGGAAGTCCAAGATCAAGGCAGTAGCAGATTCGGTGTCTAGTGACAGCTCACTGTCTGCTTCAAAGGTGGCACCTTGTTGCTGTGACCTTACATGGTGGAAGGGCAAAAGGGGCTCACAAACACTCTCCAGCCTCTTTCATATGGGTACTAATCCTACTTAAGAAGGCTCCACCCTCATGATCTTATCACAAAGGCCCCACCTCCTAATACTATCACCTTAGGGTTAGGTTTCAAAATATGAATTTTGGATTGACACATACATTCAGACCATGCAGGGGACAATACCCTGTCATTGTCAAACAAGCATTAATGCCCTGAAAATAGGACCCTTCCAGCCTGGTCAGGAAATGAAACTGCTGTCTCCAAGAACAGAAGACTACATGGTGGGGGAGTTGCCTCTCACAGATGGTTTCACTAAACAGACTCCTCAAGAACACTCCACACCAATACCTTACCCTGATGCAAAAATGCCATTGTTAACCAAGTAATTAATATGATGCTAAATTCCATTAATTGAGAGGTAGTTTGCAGATTTCGGTGATAATGATCTATCATCTAGATAACTGTCCTCATTTTGTTTTCTAAGCCTTCCCATACCCAAAGCTCTGCCTCCTTCTAGCAATTTTTAAGGAACGTAATCTATGGAATGAGCTACTTGTTTTCTAATATCACATTGCTGTTTGTTAACTGTGCAACTGTAGAAAAGTTACCTAAGGTCTTTGTTCTTTAGTTTCCTTGTCTCTTAAGTGGGAATAAAAATTAGTTCTATACTGCAAGGTTGTTGTAAGGACGACACAAAACATCCATGAAGAATGTTTAGAACGGAGGCTGGCATAGAACAAGCACTTAGATGATGGTTGCTCTTACAGGTGTGTCAAGAGCTGAGCTGATCATCCAGGTATCAACACAGTCAATTAAAATGATAAACCAAAATGAAAGCAGTAGTCAAGCCTTAATCCCTTACTGCAACAGTATCAGCAGGAGGCTGAAGAGGAGAAGGCATTGGCTCCTCCTGTGTTCCATTTTTCCCCCTGGAATGTTGCTGAGTAGTGGATCAGAGCAGAGCAGAGCAGACAAGAGGGGCAGCTCACTGCCTGCCCAAGGAACGCAGCACAAAAGGGTTCTTCTGTTATGTGGCCCTGGGATCCAGAGTAAGAAAGGGAAAGGCTAGGAGTGGGAAAGCACTGAAGAGTGAGTCCGAGTTGAGCAAAGTGTCTTCGAGACCCATTCCCTCTCCAATAAAGTGGTCCTGGCAGAGGCTTTGGCCTGAATGGAGGCACCTGGGTTAGGAATGCAGACAGGCAGAAGAGCAAGTCCTGCAGCCAAGTGGAGGGTCTGAGTCCTGGACCACAACTCCCTTTAGAGACTTCAACACACTGGCTGGGCACCAAGTCTGAGTGAGAAAGCAGGTTTCCCCCATGAGCGCCCCACTAGGTAGAGCCTTTCTTTTACCTGTGGTTGGGCCTGAAAGATCACACATAGGATCTGGACCAGGAGCTTATTTCCTAGGTTGTTACACTCTCTCACACACACATCACACCACACACACACATACACATACTTCACTTGTATAAGATCCTCTGGAGCAATGTAGATGCTACTGAGGTTTCATTGGGGAGGGAAAGAGTGTTACTTCACACAACTAACAGGGAAAAAAAGAGTTCTTAATACTACTTCTGGTCTCCAAGTTTCTTTTCCTTTTATTTTCTTTTTCTTCCTCTTAAGTCTTTTTAAAAATTGTGTAAAATACATAGAATATAAAAATGGACCATCTTAACCATTTTTAAGTGTACAGGCCCATAGTGTTACATACGTTCACATTGATGTGCAGTCTACATGACTCTTTTTACCTTGCAAAACTAAAACTCCATACCCATTCATCAGCAACCTCCCATTCCCTACTCCCGTCTCCTATAACTCTTTTCCAGTACCTCCTAGCCTTGCCGGTTCGTCCACTTTAATTTCTTTCATCCCTATTGTGTGAAGTAATTTTTCCTCTTCATCATTCCTAAGGACAAACTTGTCATCTCAGTCTCTCTGCTTCTTAAAAACAAAGTCCCAAATCCTGCACCCCCAGCGTTAATGGGCACACTCTCTTAGAGGGGACTTCTTCAGCAACTACCTTTAATACCAAGTATTCTTTTCAGATTCTTTTACCCATTCTAAATGGCTTACCAATTTTTTCCAAACCTAAATTATGTTTGCACCACAGGACTCCTAGGAGCAAAGTTCCTCTCATTTCAGTATGAAATGAAATTATGCTGACCACGAATTCAGAAAAAAAAAAAAAAAAAGATTACTGCATTTACAGCTACATTTCTGGAGCAATCATCAATACTTTTGAACATGAAGTACACACATTCAGTATACTGTATTTTCAAAGATTTTTGTGTTTTTGGCTCTCTAGGTGATGTGTTGACATTTTTAGATTCTCACGTGGAATGTAACGTTGGTTGGTTGGAACCTCTTCTGGAAAGAGTGTATTTAAGTAGAAAGAAAGTGGCCTGTCCAGTAATCGAAGTCATCAATGATAAGGATATGAGGTAATATTGACACATTCCACAAGATACTTCTAAGCACATATGTAAACACAAGCAGCAGAAAGTGCTGAGTATATGCCCAATATGTGCATTTTTTGAAAATCCAAAACATATACAGCTTACTTAAATAAATGGAAAAGCATGGTCGATATCTTGGGATCAGAGTCTGCTGATGCAATAATCTATCTGGTCACTACAAATTCTTAACTCTAAATACCAATAAATCCTAATAGTCATTATCTGTTTTTTCCCCTTTATATTTAGCTGAACCCACAAATATTTATTTACCTCAAGTTTAGTTCTTATTTCTGTGGGAAACACGTATGTGCTTCTAAGTTGCCCTTGTACTTTTTTTTTCTTCAAAACTGGCCAGAACAGTATTAAAATAAAAGTATAAGTTAAGCACAAATAATCAAGCCAATTAGTTACTAAAGCAAATTGTACTTGTAAATGTTCTTGAACTATTATTAAAAGGTGGTGCTCTAAAATCATCATAAGCACTTGTTTCATTCATTTGACTACGTTGTGAAACCAAATTGATAAAGTACATAAAGATTTATATAATCCCAGATAACACTTTGGTTTTTTCTTCCTGGATTAGTTACATGACAGTGGACAACTTTCAAAGAGGCATCTTTGTGTGGCCCATGAACTTTGGTTGGAGAACAATTCCTCCAGATGTCATTGCAAAAAACAGAATTAAAGAAACTGATGCAATAAAGTAAGTGTGTGAAATTTAAGACTAGAAAGCAGTCATATATCTTTTTGTGAAAGCATAAAAAATTCTACAAAACGGCTTACTATTCTATAGAACATTAAGAATCACAGTTCTAGCCAATAGATTACCAAAGCAAACACAATATTCCTGAGAAATTTGTTCCCAAAACTAATTCTTCACTGGTCATTTGTACCTTACTCAGGGCTGAACACACAAAAATTCACTAATGCTGTCCTGTCCCCTAGGATTTGCAACCTAAGAAACACAAACTAGCAAAATGTGCTGCATACATACTATATAAACACACATAATATTAAAGTAAACGTAAGTGCAAATTAAAAGTAAATAATAGTAATAGAAATATCATTCTAATGATAGCAATGGTTAGGATTTTCTTTTACAGTCTAATCCTACCCCCTCCATGAGAGAAGTGCCAAATTCTATGAATAAATTTAAAAATCGATTCAGAAGCTGGATATGAATTCAAGTTTGGGCTTTTATTCCCAAGAAACTGCATTAAAGAACACAGCTTAGACCTGAAGCTGAAGTGGAGGCTTCCCATTACTTCTTCAGAATCTAGGCCTGCAGGACAAGCATTCAGCCAGCCACAGAAAGAGCAGCAGGGAGCTTAAATTTTCCCTGTTGTAGTGACCACTTAAGCAGACACAAGCAAGCCAGCCCCAAGAGAAAGCCAAGCCTAGACTGCATTGAAGCATGTTTTCCCCAAACTTACCCCTCAATCAATCATACCACCTTCCTTGCCAGGTGTGATGCCTTCAGAATTGTTCCACCAAGCAAAGAAGTGAAGGTTCTACCATTTATTAAGCACTCTGTGCCAGGCACCTAACTCTCTTCCTAACTCTAGGAGGCAGGTGGAAGTATTCACCTTAAAGAGGTGAGGAAATTGAGACTTAAAAGCATTAAGTAATTTTCCCAGAGATCCACAGTTAATGAAAGAAGAATTTGAGACTCAAACCCAGAACTACCTGGATTTAACACTCTTATTCTGCACCTACACCTAAAGAACCTCTGCTTTTTCCAAACTCTCATGTTGAGGGCCAATACAGTGGTTGAATTCAGACTACATTCAACATAATGTTAGGAAGAGAATGCATTCTGGATAGACTAGTAGGAAAATTGGAGTGCAGAAAGAACACGAACATAAATGGTGGCAGAGGGGAGAGAGGTATGGGACAGGAATTACGTCCCCCTTGAGATTACTGTATACACTAAGCACAAAGCAGACTCTCCACAGAAACTACTTCAGCTGGCTGAGTGGTGACCACCATAGGAAGTGATTCCAGTCTTCGCTAACTGCTGACTAAAATATAGTTTCTGTTCTCCATAATCAATATTATTAGTGAAGGCTCTGGAGACAGTTTGAATCTCCACTCTGCTACTGAGAAGTGGTATGAGCTTCAAAAGACTACTTATTATCTTCAGCCTCTATTTCCTCATTTTTACATGAAGACTCATAAAAGCAGCTGCTACTTAGATTGTTTTAAGAACTGAATCAGATAATACATAAAGTGCTTTGAAAGGTGCTTGCCATATAACATGCTGTCGGTAAAGTTTGTGTGTGCTTGTGAGGCAGGAGAATAGGGTCTGGAGGCAAGAACCTTGAGGCCAATTCATGCCAACTTCCTGAAGTCGAATCAAGGAAAAACACCAAGGTCTGGGGGGCAGGAAATCTAAGACCAATTCCTGCTGACTTCCCAAAGCTGGATCAAAAGGAAAACACCTGGGTCTAGGGGCAGGGGATCGAAGGCCGAATAACACCCACTTCCTAAAGCTAAACCAGAAGGAAAATTCCATTTCCCCACATCCAAGTAAAAAAGGATCAAAGGCTACTCTCCCTACAGCCCTCCCCTTCCACCACCTCTCAGACGGAAAGGGAGGGTGCCTTGGACTGGCCAAGCAGGGACCTTCCCTTCATCTGCATAGGGCGCCAATTCACCTCAGCCTTTCATTAGCCAACCAAATCCTTCATCCAGATCAGGGGCAGCCGATAGGGACCTCGAAAGGAGTACTCGCAACTCAGAAAACTTTGTAACCCGTTTGCTCCGGCCCACTCCCACCCTGTGGAGCGCTTTCTCGCTTTAATAAATCCCTGCTTGTGCTGCTTTGTTCATGTGTTTCGTTCCTTTGTTAGTGTGTTTTGTTCAATTCTTTGTTCAAACTACCTAGAACCTGGATAACTCACACTCACGGCCTTCCTTCCGGTAACCGCGAGAGGCGAGTGAGTGGAGTGAGTGGCACAGCGTCCCCTCAGACTGCCCAGAGCAAACCCAAGGTGTCAACTGTCCTTGGGAAAGTTTCTTACCTTCTCTGTGTTGCCGATTCCTGAGAGCTTGCCTGGAGGTTCTAGCAGGGAGCGCAGCTGCTCGTATACCCTTGAGGGAAGACCGGCCCTCCTGTGTCGGGGATGGTCGTCCTCTTCCACAGAGAGCGCAGCTTCCGGGAGGGACGCACATGGAGAAGTGAGGGAGGAAGGGGACACCCGCCTAGCCAGCCGGATCAGCCGAATCAACTCTGGCAATCCATGGGGTGACAGATGTCGCAGCCAGATCGCCCTCACATCCAGTGTTGCAGATTCTTTTTTTTTTTTTTTTT